GTCAAAATGTTCTCCACAGCAATGTGGTTTTATTTCTGTTTACTATGTCACCATGCTTCTACTCTGCTTAGTGGACAAGGTGCAAACACATAATAGAGAAATGAAAAAGCAGGGAGAGATAAGAGGCACATTGAAGGCACAATTTAAGGAAGCACTGACTTTCAGTATTGTATACGTGCACGGACGGCCCTGAATGCCTCTTTAAATTGTGTACTTTAGGAGCCTCTCTGACTAGTCCTTCTTATTGCCCTTTATGAAACAGAATGCTAGGGAAAATAATTGCCAACAAAGGAATGAAAAATATTTCATCAAATACTTGTTTTACTAGAACATGCATTAAATCCTAAATCTGCAGGTGTGGCGCTGTAGGATAAACACTCGACTTCAAGCTCAGTATGAACATTGAAGTCAGCGATTCAAACTAACAAGATGGTCCTCAGAAACCCTGTACTCAAAGGCACTTAACACCATCAAAAATATTATATCATAATTATAATGATGTTGTTATTAAGTGCCGTGCAGTCAGTTCTGACTCATAGCAACACTGTATAGTATTTCTGAGAATGGGCTGGTGGGTTTGAACCATTGACTTCGTCTCAGCCACTCAGAGCCTATTCTATAGCACCAAACCAGGACTCTAATTATAATGATGTTGTTAAGTGTCCTGGAGTCCTTTCAGACTCAAAGTGCCCTGTATAGAGTTTCTGAGTACTGAAACCAGTAAATACTGACTGACCTTGTGGTCCATGGAACCATAATTAATAAATCATCAATGTGAAAGTGTAATGTAGTTGTTATATATTACTAATATCATTACATTTAACTCTCCCAAAGAAGTCAATTTTACAAACTTTAAATAATTGTTTAATATTATATAGATGGAGTCCTGGTGTGGTGCTGTTGGTAAATAAGCTGGACTGCAAAGTCGGGTTGAATGACAAGGTCGCGGTTCAAGCTCAACAGCTGCTCCTTGAAACCCTATACAAGGTCGTTATGAGTCATAACTGGCTCAATGGCACTGTCAACAATAACAACAAACAGATAGTCAGTAAGGGAGACAGGAATAAAAAAATTACTGACTTATAGTCATAAAACCTAGGTAAATTTGGCTGAACTATATACACTTAACAAATCCTAATATCCTTATATATAAAGAAAAGTGAGTTTAGAAACAGTTATCTGAATGTTGCTTTTTGAAGATTAAGAAAAATAATTGTGAGTGCACACACACATTGGATATAACATAAGAGCCAATGTCTTTCTTCTTCCTACCCCTCACCCCTACTCCATGTAACACAGGTAGCTCTATGTGTTAGCCTTTTTTCCCATGGCAAATATATTTATTGTATACATCTGAAGCAATGTTCCCGGGTAATTTCTCTGAGTATAATTCACTTATGTTACCCACTAGATATTCTATCATTCATTTTCTTTGAATCCACAATCAACAATCACAGAAGTATCAGTCAGAAAATCAAATAACATATTGCAGTAGAGAATTCTGCTTCAAAAGACCTCTTTAAAAAAGTGTTCAGAAAGAAAGATATCAGTTTATGGCTTACGGTTGGCCTAACTCAACCATGATATTTTCAGTGGTGGGTTTGAACTATCGACCTCATCTGTGTGTGTATATAAATACACACACACACACACACAAGTTGGACAATGAATAAGGAAGGCTGTAGAAGAATAAAAGCATTCAATTTATAGTGTTGGAGAAAAATATTGTAAGTGCCATGGACTGTCAGAAGAAGAAACACATCTTTCTTGGAAGAAGTGCAGCCTGAAGGACATTTAGAAGCCAAAATGATGATGCTTCATCTCTCATACTTCAGGTATGTTATTAGAAGAGACTAGTCCCTGACAGGACACTAGGCTTGGTAACCTGGAGGGTCATAAAAAAAGAGGAAGTCTGTAATGAGTTGGATAGATACAGTGGCAGCAGCAATGGGCTCAAACTTACTAACAGTTCTGAGGATGGTGCATAACCAAGCAGTGTTTAGTTCTATTGTTCATTGGGGTGCTATGATTGGCTGTCGACTCTATGGCACCTAAGTTATGTAAATAATGTATCAAACAATATTGTTTTATTCCTTTATGCAAAATGAAATGTTATCTAAATGTTCCCTCAAAACTATGTAATATAAACTGTATAATACGAACCAA